ATCTAAGCTGGCAATATTTTCTCTAGTGTAGGCAGTGTTGTTTCCAATCTGACAGCATTCAGAAAGTTCTAAAAAGTAAAATTAAATCAAAATGACCGACTGTTGCTGTTCCTTTAATTTCAAGATTACTTAAAGTGCTGTATTTTTGTTGTTTTTTCATTTATAATTTTACTTTTACCACAATCCTAGTCAGTTATAATTTGTGATAATTTTCTAATTCTACTTTATCTATAATTAAACTCTAGTAAAATTAACAGTTTTACAGCCCATTGTCATCGTTAAATCTCTAATTTTGATTGGCAGCTTTGAAAATGTAATAAAAATTGAGTCATTTCATAAAAAAGTATGAGCTCTAATATTTTCTAAAAATTTGGTATCTTTTAAAATGACAATAACAAAAATAAAAGTCATAACTGACTCAAACTTCTACATAGCATAACGACATTAATACACATCAGAAAGTATAATAAAAATTAGGGGTGATTTTAGAGCCATTTTTGGAAAAAAGTATGGGCTATAGTACAGGGTATTTTTCCAAAATTTGGAATTAAAAAAAATGGCCATAACTCAAAAAAATGAAGCCGGAATTGGCTCAAACTTTCTACGTAGCATAACGACATCAATATGCATTAAAAAATATAATAAAAATTAGGGGTAATTTCAGAGCCATTTCTGGAAAAAAGCATGAGCTATAGTACTGGGTATTTTTTTCAAATTTTGGAGTTTTCAAAAAATTGGCTATAACTCAAAAAATTGAAGTCGGAATTGACTCAAACTTTCTACATAGCACAAGTACATCAATATGTATCAGAAAATGTAATAAAAATTGGGGGTGATTTTCGAACCATTTTTTGGAAAAAAACTTGGGCTATAGTACAGGGATTTTTTTCAAAATTTGGAGTTTTTAAAAAATGGTCATAACTCAAAAAATTGAAGTCGGAATTGACTCAAACTTTCTACATAGCATAAAAACATCAATATGTATCAGAAAATGTAATAAAAATTGGGGGTGATTTTGGAGCCATTTTTCTGAAAAATCCATGGGCTATAGTACAGGATATTTTTCCAAACTTTGGAGTTTTTAAAAAATAGTCATAACTCAAAAAATTGAAGTCAGAATTGGCTCAAACTTTCTATGTAGCATAAGGGCATTATAATGTATCAAGAAATGTGATAAAAATTAGAAGTGACTTTAGGGCCCTTTTTTGGAAAATAGTACATGGTATTTTTCCACAAATTTGGAATTTTCTTAAAACGGCAATAGCACAGAAAATTAAAGTCAGAATTGGCTACATAGCATAAGGACATAGATTATGAGATACAAGGAAGAAGATGACAAAGAATGTTGTGTAGCTAATTTTGAATTCTTTTTGTGTTGAGTAAACAGATTAGGTTATACTGATCATTTCCCGAGTGGCCTGTGGGGACTCCCGGAATACACATTAGAAAATGTAATAAAAACTTAAACTAACTTTCAGAAAAAAGCATGTGCCATAGTAGAGGCATTTTTCAGAATTTTGAAGTTTTTAAAAGGCCTTACAATCTTTAACCAAAATTTTTTTTAAAGGCTACAAGAGAATTTCCCAATTTTATAAACCTTCTGATACATGTACATATACTTGTTGCTTTTAGATGATTTCAATTTTCAATCAAAATTTGATTGTTTTACAAATATTTATAGTTACTCCAAAAGCCAGCTCGATCATGAAGCACCATAGGACGCCTTTTTTTAGGGCTGTAAATTTCACTGATTTTGCAATTTTTTGAAGATTTGCGAAATTACTTCCGCAAAAATATGATACAAGATGGCAGATGGCATTAATTTGCAAAAATTAAATCCGAAAATAGATTTTTAGGCAAATTTGCAAAATTTACAGCCCTAAAAAAAAGGTGCTCTATGGTATGCTACTTAGCAAACTTTGAGGGAAACCCTGTTCTATGGTTGGAATGTGGTTTAAAATATGTATTTCTTAATAATTATTGGTCCTTGGCAAAACTTTGGGTAATTAGAATTAAAATGAGAATGGAAAATAATTACCTGGAATAGGTGTTGGAGTTATTGTTTGAGACACTACTGAAGATGGCTCACACACAACGATGACAGAAGTAGAAGCTTGTGTTAAAGAAGGAGAAGAACCACCATCACTGACAGAAGATACACTAATTACTCCAGTGGTAGCAGACACAATGGAGGAAGTTACAGTTGATGTAACAGATGCAGTGGTAGAAGCAGTAATAAAATCACTAGAAACTGTTTGGGTAGGAACAATGATTGTACTAGAAACTGCTGTTCCAAAAGTTGAATCAATCGATACTGAACTAATTCCTGTTGGTTCCACAGTCACAGTCCTTGTTATGCATTGTGTTGATCCTAACAAACCTCTGCTGGGAGACTGCTCCATTCTGTTCCTGCTGCAGCAGTGTTCTGTTATGCTTCTACATAACCCAACTGAATTTGGAAAGATGCATTCTTTGTTGTCCTCTGATTGTATCCTTCCTATGTAACAGCATTCACAACATGTCAGTGCCTCACTATTACACTCGTTGTCTTGATGATGTTGTTCAATAAAGCAATCTAAGCTGGCAATATTTTCTCTAGTGTAGGCAGTGTTGTTTCCAATCTGACAGCATTCAGAAAGTTCTAAAAAGTGAAGTAAAATCAAATCCCCACCTTTTAGTCATGCATTTTTTCTATTAACTCAAATACAGTAGCAATAGATTTTAAAATAATTATTTCTTTTAAATTTATCTTCAAATAACCTAACATTTTAGGAATATTATGATAATATGTAATTAAGATTTAATGCATAGTTTTTAAGCAGTTTAAAAATTTGTCACATTCTGTTTACCATCAGCTAATTTTTATAATACCATATAGCTGAAAAGTTTGCAGGAATTATATTTTGCAATTTTGTACTGATAGAGCAAGTTTTAAAGTATGTGGAATTTAATTTTGCTAGTGTAGGCGTGTACTGTTGATACGCCGATTACTTAAAGGCTGCAAAAGTCATGGCAGCCATTTTGTTTGGGGGTGAATCCTACTTAGTAACGCAACCGTGTTACTAATAATGCTTTGCGGAATTAAATTGTGCATTTTTATGATGAATAGCTAACAGCAAAATTAAATTCCAGCAAATATTTTCAGCTATACGGTAAATATTATTGACAGATACATAATTAAGGTAATAAAAAACACTATGCTATTACTTTAATTATCACCAAAATGCCAAGTATTTTTTGCCATTTTATAAGTTCTATTCTAATAGAATTGAAAATTTCAATTACTATATATGATGAATAACAAATGCATTATTACAGTTTAAATTCATTATTACTATAATTTCATAGTGACTTTAATTGAAACTGCCACAAAAAATGCCAAAATTAAAATCCGTACCAAATCCTGCTTTTAAAATAAAATTGTCAAACAAATTGATGTGAAGCTGCCTGTATATGCTATGAGAAAAGTATAAGTGCATAATCACATTTTATCCATAATTAGGTTTTGCTCGTTAGAAAGTAATTCATGTGTAAATGTGAAAATGCTATACCTCATTATCACTGGAAAAAATAGAATTTTAAAGTCTCGTATGCCACAGGTAACCACACGTGTAACCAGACTAGAGTAACTACGTATGGCGTCAGGTACCTGTATAACTTCAAAGTATATATCTGGGCAATTTTTATTCCACAGTCATGGCAGGTCTAATTTAATTAATTCCACACCTTATTTGGGAGTTTTAGATTTACTGTACATAAGAGTCGAAGTGAGTAGTAGTAATACACTTAGTAACTTTGTGAAACCTCTCAGACCATGAGTCTATGGATTGTTAATGAGGGATGACCACTAGTTTAGTAGCCCCATCTATCATCAATACTACTGTAGACAAATAACAACGGCTTTGATACTTACCTAGACGAGGAGTTGGCATTGGAGAAGTGTCAGCACTTGTTTTAGCTGTTTCACAAATTATTTCTGTCGTATATGAGGCAGATTCTCCATTCGTACTAACTACGGTGACTGCACTAGCAACACAGAGTACCAGGACTAGATCCAATACCTTCATATTGACTGCCGCTGGCAGATAGGGACTATGTAGCACACAGGACCGGTCTCTCTATTTCTCTCTTTATCAAAACTTTAAGGGATGAAATACAAGGCACAAGGCATACTGTAATTACCACTTCGCGCGCAATCTGCCGCTCTCTTTCTATTCTGGTCGCTAGGCAACCAAGCTCAATGATCACAGGAATTATTCTTGATTCCATATTTAGAAGGTGTCAGCGATTCTCCTTAACTGTTATATGGCTCATGCATACCATGAACCAGTCTAAGAGTTCCTATACACACAACATACACATACAAGCACTGAAAACATAAGAATGCCTGCTGCCAGCACTCCATGCATGTGGTGGCCATCGACTCAGTGCCAATAACTATTTTTTGAGTTATAGACTATCACTGAGTTCACTCACAACAAACTAAATTAATATCATGTGACAAGATTGAGTGTTGGCCAACTCAACTAAGCTGCCCTTACTGAGTGGACTGCTCATAGCCATACTTAAAGGTGGGCATCCACTATGCAACTTTAATGCAAGTACCTTTGATGTGATCGTGCAACATGTTGCATGAAGTTGAGACTCTCTCTACTTCATGCAACATGTTGCCCAACCACATCAAAGGTTTAATCACAAGTTGCAAGCAACAATGCTGCATAGTGGATGCCCACCTTTTTGGACATGAACCGAGGTAAGAACAGAGAATACGGAATGATGATGATCACACCACTGACCGTAACCATGAAATACCATACAATTATGATAGTAAACATGCAATTAATAATATTGGCACCACAAAAGACACAAAATATGCCACACAAACAAACATCTGTACTGACATGGCCACTGAGTGCAATTCAGTGCATGCAGGACTATTCAGTATTGTTTATCAGGCCAGTATAAAATCAAAATTATGGCCTGCCTAATTAAGATGACCATCAAGCATCCAATTTGCACCATATCTATAACAAAAACATGTAAATTACACTTCCTTCCTATGCACCCTCCACTCCTCCCCCTTTATATACACTTAAAATGTGCAAATGAAAGAAGATTGACTCTGTATAATCATCAATATACATGTACATGATTGTAATTAATTATGTATAGTTGAGTTAACTAATGAGGAAATGAATTATGCATTACTTTTTCTATGACAAACAAACTTAAAAATTGTAAACAAATAGGTATCATCTCTGGCTTGCCAGTTTGATATGGGTTAAAATAAAGTAATCTAAATAGAAATCATAAGAGCTTAAAAATACATTAAGTCATTGCTTCAAAAATTCCAACCACACAACCAAATTTACAAGCCTAATTAATCAAATTGTAATCTGAGTAGTTGCGTCAAATTTTTTTACTATACCAATAGATCAAATGTCAAGACTCATTTGTACTGTACATTCATACTGGTACATGGAAGTGTAAATTCGATGTGTGGTGGTTATGAGCTCATTGTTATTCATTATAGTAACCATGAGGTTGCACGTGGTCAACAACTATTTAATATACATACACACACACACAGACACACACAATAATCAGTCAGTCCAGTCGTTCATTCTTTCGTTGTCGTCTCGTTCTACTATCAAGTATCAACTCAACAATTTGTCTCATCATTGCTCTCACTGCACTCTTAGAGAACTGAATTTTAGTAGTAGGAGTCCTATGTTGTCAGAGATCTTTATTATCATTATCTTTATCATTTCTGTAATTTCTCTTTCTCTCATCTCTCTTAAGAACTATTCCCAATCTTCCTTCCTTTTCTCTTTTCTCTCTAAATCCCTTCTTCCTTCTCTTTTTATTGTCCTTTACTGTATTACTAATAACAGTTGTTACGACCACACTACAGATGAATGTATTGACTTTGTATGAGACAATTAATTTCAATGACACGCATGATGTAGCTGATTTAATTTTTTCAATAGATAGCCAATATCATTTATGAGCAAAGAGAACATGCAAAAAATAAGTTGAATGAAGCTGGTGGATCAAAGGGATGGAAAGAGGGGAATAACAAATGTTTAGGATTATTTCAACATAATTATTTACTGGGAAGGAAAAGTGTACAGAGACAATTAGAAAGATACAACACAGAGGCTATACAAATGAGCATTCATTGCTCAATGTTAAATTGACAAGAGTTCACGTTATTAGCTCACTGCTACTTTCACTAAAATTTGTTTTATGAATAACTGCAGATGATGTACAAAAAGCAGAGCTCACTGAGTTATTTGCTCATAGCTTCAAATTAATCATAAAACACAAGAATAAACACATCATTAAAGAGGAGACTAATTAATAGGTGAACAGAAGAAAAAACACAAAAAATTACAAAATTATAAATTCCGGGGCTATTCCCTATAGTTAGTGTGCCCAATGTTGTTGAGGTTGGCATCATCATAAATATTATTGTGTAATTCACTAGAGATAGAGTTACAAAATGGTACGTAATATATGAGTAATAATAAAAAGGCATAACAAGTTTACCTTTAAGAGACATTTAAATGTATAGTATCCATTAAGGCAACAATACTCTTGATAAAGGTTACTTACAGCAAATAAAAAGAAAAAATTACAAAGGCAAATCAGAGCTGTGAACAAAAAATGTAAAAAAAAAAGTCTGCAACACCGGCGATTCCTAGGCGGTCACCCATCCAAGTACTAAGCCGGCCCGACGTTGCTTAACTTCAGTGTTCAGATGGGAACTGGTGCTTTCAACGTGGTATGGCCGCAGACAATAACTCAATCGATTTTTTTAACAAATACATGTTATAGATAAACTACAGATGTTGAGGGTTACTGGATATACACGAGGATGTTAGTTGATTTAGAAGCCGAGGCGAATCCGAGGCTTCTAAATCAACTAACATCCGAGTGTATATCCAGTAACACGAAACAGCTGTAGTTTATCTGGTTTGTACTACAGTGTGTGGGTGTATGAAAGGCACTGTCGTCTAACTACCAGAATTGGCAGTTAGATGATGGCTTCTAACTACCCTGCTGTGGTCTACACTATATAAACTCGTGGCGGTGCTTTGATACACCCACACACTGTAATACAATTAATTTTAATGCAATAATTGTAACAATTTAGACACTCAATACTGCAATTTCATGCACCAATAGTGTCTCCGTAGTCAAACACAATGTCAGTTTCACCAAGCTTCTCCTTCACTGCAGCATCTAACTTCTCAATATCTTCAGGACCAAAATAATTGTGCCATTCCCCTACAGCCCCTTTACGAACAAATTTGTATTTTGTCAAGGCACTGTTAAAAGACTCAAGATTCATTTTCATTTTATCAATTCTTGAGTTTGCAGCTATCTCTTCAATTAGCTTTTGACTCAATTGATATCCCAAGAATGTACTGATTGATTGTACAGCTCCTACTGGATCCTTCTTCATCCTCTCATAAGACAGCATCAGGATATTAGGAGAATCTGAATATAATGATTTAAAAAGTAAATCAACAATTAATCAAGGCAGTACTGACCTTTATGATCCCACCAGCCTCTTATATTATCCAATGGGCTACCATAAACAACATTACCATCAACAAAATCATCAAGATATTTACTCCATGTAAGAGGAGATTTGTGTGCAAACTGCTTTTCAACCAAATACCAGGACACAGCAACATCTCTTGGATTCCTATAGGAGTATATGTATTTAGCTGGACTTTGATGTGGAGGACCACCAGCAACATGATCATAAGGATAATGATGTTTCATATATCGTGGAGATTCCATTGCCTATAAAGGTTGATAAAAAGATCATCATGCTACATGTCCTATACATACTTCAACTTCAATAAGTTTCATGATGTCAATGCAAGGTGCTATGCTATCCAAGTCTTTTTCAAGAGGTGTTCCACCATTAGCTATTAACAGCACAATGTACATAATCCAATTTGTTCCACTCCTCACATAGGAGGTGACAAATACATCACTTGAACGAATGACAAGTTTTTCTTTTAAGTCTAAGACATCTAGTGCCTTCACTCCAGGAAACAGCTTGATGCCACCAGGAAGCATCTCAAATTTTTGATCAAAAAGCATTTCTCCAGCAAGGTACTTTTCCATGTGAGAGCTAATAGGCTTGAGGCCTACACCAGCCATTGTGCCTTACTGAATATAAGTGTCTTTCTAATAAATACACACAGTAGTATTTACTAACATAGTTTATGTTGGCAATGTGGCATAATTATAACAAATACTATGCGACAAAGTATTTATGATGCCAAATGCCAGCTTGTATACATCGTAGGTAACAAAAAATTTTATATAACTATAGGCATATCAGAATTCTATATCATGGAATTCCAAATATCCTGTACATACGTATCATCAGAATAGTACTCTTCTATAATAGGTGTGATTTACAAAGTTCATTATAAACAAAAATATCTTTTAAAAATAATACAAACATTATAATAAGCATAGCCTGCAAAATTATTTTAACTGAATTTCAACCAGTTTTAATCCATTCAGTTCCGGATTGGTTCATAATCTGAGTGGCATACCTTATATGTATAGCCACTATATCCAACTGCTGATGAACAAACTCCCAATCTTTAACACTAGTAGCATTAAATATAGCATCAGTTACTCCAGGGAATGAAGCTCCTGAATAAGAATTAACTGAACTGGGAGCAAATATAACATGCCTGAAATTAAAACTATAAATAAAGAAATGTATAGAGTGAGAGTACTTTAAATAAGGACGTCCAGGTAATCCTTCAGGTAGTATAAATGCTCTTTCTATGTTAATCAACTTTTTGTTTAGCATTCGAATGATGTTAAGACTATAGAGAGGATCAATGAAAGAATTTCTACACTTACACTACAATGAGTACTTAGTGGTGTTTTGATATTTAGCAAGTGTTGCATTAAGGCTAGCAGCAGCTTTTTGGAACTCATCCAAAGTTTCTTTCAGTAATGCTGTAGAGAATGACAATCAATTTATATACTTGTGATTAAGATAAATAGTAACTAGAACCTGTTGTAATGTTGTTTTGCTTCAGTGCTGATCCATGCTCTGACTCCAACTGATTATACATTTCTAATAATCTTTCATAATATCTGACTGGATTATACGGAATGATAGGAGTGGTTGCTATTGCCATTGCAATTTGTGTCCATAATTCGCCCATAGCTACACTGTACTTCATGCTTGGGTCAGCAAAATTTGTCATCCAGTAATAGTTGTCATGAACAGAATGATAGACAGGATAGTCACCCTATAAAAGTAATGAGTGATGTGGTCAAATGGAAAACAAGTAGAGAAAATAAATGAACAGAATGCAATTCAAATACTCACAACATAAGCCATACCAGAACATGTTACACCAGCACGTTGTACAAAAGCTGCATGATCAGTACCAGCACCAAGATTATAAACCCTTTAAAAGTCAGAGGAATCTTCGGTTGTACACAATGTCAAATTCAATTAACCTTGGTTCATCAGATGTGTATTGACTTTTCCATTTATCATAAAGTGTAGAATAATCATCACAAGGACACTGAACCTATAAATTTCTTTAGGATTCAGAATTAACACTTATTGAGTACTTGTTTAGTTGCATTGTATAATACATCATAGAGCAATGGGCTAGAAGAAACAAACAGGGAATCCATACCTAAATGTGATAGCAAGCAAATCTATTCAATAAAAAGATCAATTCAGTATTAGATTTTATTAACCAACTCCAACTGTTATTACAATAGCAGCAAATGAGCATGCAGTTATTCAACAGAGCTGAAAATTTTTAGGCAATTATATGCATTTTGTAAAAAATTTCTTGTAAATTGTAGTGGCACAGAAAGTACATAAATAAAACCTTACATTATTATACATAGCAAAGCTGTGCCATTAAAATCAAGTGGACATACATATCTACCAAATGACTACATTAAATCTTGTAGTCCTACATCAAATTTAAAGTATTTACAGGACTCACCAGCAACAGCTTCATCAACATTTAAATATGCAACAGCATTAGCTACCAGAAACTTTTCCATATCCTATACGATTAAAAGCAGCAATATTATTGGGTCTTTTCTCACAATTAATTTACTTCAACCCATTCAGTAGATCCAATCAGTCCAAACTCCTCTGAATCCCAACTACACAGTACTATTGTTCTACCTGGTCTCCATCCTAAAGGAGCAAACAAATAATGAGAACAGGGAAGCATGCTAAGTGAGCTAAACAGCATGTTTCATGAGCTGATATGGTATATGAAGCAACTTTGAAAATATTAATAAAAATTCAATTTTGATTGGAATTAGCTCAAATTGTCTACGTAACAAAAATTTTAAAATCGAAAGATCTCTCCTATACCCAAAATTTGGTCAAAGACCAATTAAAGGCTATAGCCATTGGTCGTTGGCTCAATTTTTTAGCAACTTCAAAATTCATAAAAATTTCAAATTTGATCAGAATCAGCTCACATATGCTTTACAACATAAGAACATGTATATACATTAGAAAAATTATTAAAATGTAGAATTCTTTACTACCCATTTTTGAAGAAATTTGGCCTAAGACCGAAGGCTATAGCCTTTGGTCGTTGAACTATAGTAAAATATTTTGGCAAGATACTTGTTAATTACTACTGTATACTCACTCACCAGTGCTTCTTAATTGATCTATTACTCTAGCAACTTCTAGTATCACTGCAGTTCCACTGTTTGGATCAACTGCACCAAATGTCCAAGCATCATAATGATTGCCTAACAGCACCAGGCTATCTAAAGACAGAAATATAGTGCATAAAGCATGGAGCCATGTAGAAATAATTCAATCATTATAAATAGTAATGCACTGACCAGGCTCCATTGATCCATATACAACAGCAAACACATTACATATTGTTCTTATTTCAAAAATATTATTCACTTTAAGAAGAGTCAAACTATAAACAAATAATGAAAAAATATCAAAACACAAATTATTACTTCTTATTAGTATCTGATTGGTGAATCATATAGTTAATATCAAGCTCTCCTCTCCAGCCATCAGGAGACTGAATACTGTCCAACTGACTAATTAATAAAAACAGATTATTAATAATTAGGATAAGAAGACTATTTTACCTCATAAAGTGAATGGCATCACCATAAGATATTGGTTGTACTGGAATTGCTGGACCATCCCCTGCCTTTACAAAATCCTCATATGTACGTCTATACACACCATCTGAAATACATATAAAGGGTTTCAAATAAGCCCAACACACAACAAGCAGTAAGTAACTTTGCTTGATGTCAAGCAACAGAGCTGTGCCACGCATAAGGCACAAGGATAAAGTAAAGTGAGTATTTTGGCATCACAATCCACTTGTTACAATTCAATGTGTGTGTAGACTTAGACTTTCAATATTAACATAATAGTTTAAAAGTACCCATTAATGATATCTTACCAATGGCTGGTATAGAAGGAGTAAGAGGATCTCCATTAATTAACATTACAGATCCTCTCTGAACACCTCCTGGAGGAAGAGATGGGCCTTTAGGATAAACAGGAGGACCATTCTTTGGTGCATAATCAGCTGGATCAGAATAAATGATCAATCCTGAACAACCAAAGCGCTGAGCTAAATGAGCCTAATTAAAATAATGAAAATGATTTTGATTAAAAGTGTAAATAGTTTTAAGATCTGGTTTTGCTTTGTGTCTCAAATCAGAAATGTATTAGTCATTTTGATAATTTATGAATTACATGCTCACTGTACATAGAGTGCAAGTACTAGGGGACACAGTCCAGTTTATACTAATCAAAAGTGATGCTGCTAACCTTGTCTCCTCTAAATATTCGACCATAGCGTGCAATACAGACATAACCAGTCAAGTTAAGACTCAAATTGTACACCAAATACTGGAAATCACTGATACGACCATAATTAACATACACCAGTGGACCCTGTGTATAATAAATAAAAATATTAAACGTTTCTATATACTAAACTCATTAAATGTACATGTGCATGTATGTGTTCTTACTTTAGCTTCACCAGGTGCAGAGTAAGCATTAAAGGGAGGAGGTACACTAGTGTCATTCTCTCCATCAGTGAGTGGAGTCTCCTGTATTGTACTAGTAGCAGTATACAATACACCATCAGTTGAATCCAGCAACTGAAGTGAATTGTAGTTTGAACGATTAACATAAGAGAGTAGGACACTGTAGTTCCTTGTGTATACTGAATCAAACTGATATTGTGAGTATGTATTGTATAAGAAGTCAGTAACATCAGCGTTCCCATCCTTTCCTGATATGTGTGGCTTACTAGTTAATGTTCTTGAGAGAGAGAGTGAGTGAGAGAGATAAGTAAAATGTTTTCACAATTTCACAAATTGATAAAAATCTTGAAACCATAGATACCCCAAAAAATTAGTTTTTATACTTGCAAAATCTAGATTTTTATACCAGTTTTGCTACAGTTACAACCACAGTGAAATAATTATAATAGTGCGTATCTGAAAGCTTACTTGAGATTATTTCTGATATTTTCAGCTACTAGTTTTCCAGGTATCCATTGACTGATGCTTCTGGTTGCAACTGTGCTTCCCCAATAGTCCCTCCAGTAGTCATTACTCTGTCCTCCTCCTCCAATAGGTGAGTCATTATGTAGAAGCTTCCATCCCAGGATAAGACCAACACCAAAACTGACACATAAGAGCAATACCACTGCCAGTACGGCAAGTGTGCATTTAAGACGGTTTCTGGTTTTCTCACGCCTTCTGCTTTTCCAAGAGAGATCTTTGTCTTGAACATCAAATTCAGTCACTGAGTCTTTGTTTTCCAGTAACAGATCTTCTGCTTCAGTGTCATTTTTTACAATAGACACAGTTTTTACCAACTCCATCTTAGCTTTTTTGTCCTGAGCCACACCTATTCTATTGAGGCTTAATAAAAACTTCCTTAAAATAATAATAATTTGACACCTTTCAAGTAGTTTTTCTGTAAAATTTTCGTCTAATGAAAAATATCAACATAGAAATAATCATTAATGAGTGTGGTTCTATAGCTTTCATACAAAGGTAAATCAAAACTGGTAACAGAAGAATGTAAGACAAAAGTCTGCAACACTGGCAATTCCTAGGCAGTCACTCATCCAAGTATCTACTAAGTTCAGGTGGGAACTATGAAAAAATTTTGCTTTCAACGTGGTATGGCCGCAGACACAATGATACACCCATTGCTTTCTTTAAAATAAATTCATTAGTTTTTAAGGTAATAATTTAGAAAGTCAAAACTGCAATCATATTACAAGAAAATCAGTCATTAGTGTCTCCATAATCAAACACAATGTCAGTGTCACCAAGCTTCTCCTTCACTGCAGCATCTAACTTCTTAATATCTTCAGGACCAAAATAATTGTGCCATTCCCCTACAACTCCTTTACGAACTAATTTGTATTTTGTCAAGGCACTGTTCAAGGACTCAAGATTCATTTTCATTTTATCGATTCTTGAGTTTGCTGCTATCTCTTCAATTAGCTTTTGACTCAATTGATATCCCAAGAATGTACTGATTGATTGTACAGCTCCTACTGGATCCTTCTTCATCCACTCATAAGACAGCATCAGGATATTAGGAGAATCTGTATAAAATAATTTAAAAAGAATAAAAGATAACTCGTGGCAGTACTGACCTTTATGATCCCACCAGCCTCTTATATTATCCAATGGGCTACCATAAACAACATTACCATCAATAAAATCATCAAGAAATTTACTCCATGTTAGAGGAGATTTGTGTGGAAATTGCTTCTGAACCAAATACCAGGACACAGCCACATCTCTTGGATTCCTATAGGAGTATATGTATTTAGCTGGACTTTGATGTGGAGGACCACCAGCAACATGATCATAAGGATGATGATGTTTCATATATCGTGGAGATCCCATCGCCTACGGGAAATAAAGAGATCATAATAATGCACTATATTTACTTCAACTTCAAAAAATTTCATGATGTCAATACAAGGTGCTATGCTATCCAAGTCTTTTTCAAGAGGTGTTCCACCATTAGCTATTAACAGCACAATATACATAATCCAATTTGTTCCACTCCTCACATAGGAGGTGACAAATACATCACTTGAATGAGCGACAAGTTTTTCTTTTAAGTCTAAGACATCTTGTGCCTTCACTCCAGGAGACAGCTTGATGCCACCAGGAAGCTTCTCAATTTTTTCATCGAAAAGCACTTCTCCAGCAAGGTATTTTTCCATGAAAGGTTTGAGGCATACACTAGCCATTGTGTCTTACTGACTATACTGTCTCTCCTTTTCCTAAACGAGTACTATACCAAATTGCCAAGTGCCAACATAGTCATTTTTGGCTTACAGACTCCTAAACAAATAAGTAATGAGTACTACACCAAATTGCCAAGTGCCAAAATAGTCAATTTTGGCTTATAGACAACTACTACATGACACGTTTTTATGTCAAAAGCCAACTTGCATGTAGGTAAGCTTAATAACAAAAAATATGTAAGTATAGCTAGGCATATCAGAATTCTATATCATGGAATTACAACTATCATGTATATATGCATTGTCAGGATTTCCCTCTTCTACAATAGATGTTGTTTACAAAGTTATAGAATTATTAGAAAAATAATAATAAAATTATTTATAAATAAATTAGAGTCTGGCTAGCGAAACTAATGTAGGCATTGAAAACTTTTTGAAATTTATAACAATTTACAATGAAACATTTCAAGTAGTTTTTCTGGAAAATTTTTGCCTAATAAAAAAAATTAACAACATAAATAATCATTAACGAGTGTACATGTATCTACATGTACCTTTTGATTCTAGCTTTTTCCAAATCATACTTTGATACTGTTTTAATGCTACGTCTCTTTACTGGCTTTCGTGACAAAGCCTTCTTTTGATTTCTGCATCAAACAATAAAAATAAGCAGCTCACACTGATTTATGAAGTACTTGGATGGATTTCTCATTTCAAGCATCCAATCAGGAACAGGGCAGCCAGAGCTCTTCATGACGTTAGCTATACTGCATAGAATGTAATGGCAGCGTGCAAAATGAAGCTATATATACCTTCTAACATAAGCTGTGTCTTCTTCTGTGAAAAAGGTGATAGCTTCCCCAACTCTTCCAGCTCTCCCTGTTCTTCCTGTACAGTCATACACAATAGCTATTGTTCTGTGATTGCAATGCTAATGCTTACCAACTCTGTGTATATAACTGACAGATGATTGAGGGAAATCATAATTAATGACTAGATTGACTCCCTTGAAGTCAATTCCTCTTCCCATGAGGTCAGTACAAATAAGTATCCAAATCTGTAACACAAACCAATAAACAAAGACTGTATAAATAAAATAGTTGGTGGAGTAAAAATTTGGTGAATTGGACGAATCAAGGTTCATTTGCTAAAATTTTAGTCTCCATTTGATAGGGCTCCATAGCAGCATGCACATGGTTAAAATTTTGCCTAAGTTTTAACCTCCAAACCTCTTTTAGAGCCAATTAACCAAAATTTGACACTCCAAAAAATTTGTAGCTATATGGTACACTTTCACGAGCATTGATACTGGGCAGTTTATCATGTTGACACATAAGGATAAAACTGAACAAAAAAATAAGTCAAAAAGGTCATGTATACTTATCTGTGCAGTTTTTCTTTTACTTATCACTGACCTTTCCTTCCCTAAAGCTTTTGATAACATTATCTCTCTGTGCCTGAGTCCTCTCAGAATGAATCACATCAACATTCATTCCATCGTAAATCAACTCGTGAAACAACTCCTTTGCTCTTTCAATGCTTTGAACAAACACCAACACTGGTGGAGTGAATCCCTAACTCAATCACATTCACACATAAAGAAGCAGAGAAGGTTTTTTATACAGTACTTTATGTATGATGTCCCTCATAGCCAATAGCTTCCCAGTCTCTTGGCCAACATAGAGAAGCTGTTGCTTAATAGTCTCAGTTGCAGAGTTCCTATTACAATTGTGAACATTGGTTTAAAATACGGAATGTACTGTAGTCCAATAATCACTCGAACGAAATTGTCAAAGTGTGCTCGGGAGAATTCTTCTACGCCGGAGGCTAATGTGGCACTGAACAAGCCTCGCTTGATATTAGGATTAGAACAGGCAGTGAATATCTCATCAATCTAATGGACGAATCATTAAAAATAATAATAAAGCTTATAAATATGAACCTGATCCTTAAATCCAGTTACGCCATCTTCAAATAATTTATCGCACTCATCTAATATGAGCCACTCTACACTGGCAATAAAGAGAATAAACGCAGGAAGCTCACTACTAAAACAATTACTTATCCAGTACTATGCCAGGAGGATCCAGTGACAGCATGTGGACTAGTCTATTAGGAGTAGTAACTAAAATGTCTACCAAAAAAAACAATAAATAATTTAATGAGTACAAGCCTTTACTTACCAAACTTGAGGCTAGATTGAGGTCCAAAGCTGTTAGCTGAAGCAGTGGCTTTGGTCAATACATGAATACTGAATCCTGATCCAGAACTTAGCCTAACACACTCTCTGTATGTCTAGTACAAGTGAAAGTACAGTACATGCAAGTACATTTACACAATCCGTTTTTTTTTCAAAATACAAGTAAATACAAGTCAATAAAAATTTCAATAAACATGCAATGTCTGATGCACAATATATAACTTTATATGACCCTATACCTGTTGGGCCAATTCTCTAGTAGGGGACACAATGACGGCCCTAAATCCAACTCTGCGAGGAGACTGGACTCCACCACTACAAATGACAAAAAAGCATCTTTTAAGAACTAGTTTACTTTTAAAAGAGTTAGAATGGGAACTAGGAAGGCTGCTGTTTTTCCAGAGCCGGTAGGAGCACACACTAGAACTTCATGACTCTATAATTATTATAAAAATCGGAAAAAAATATTGGACCATTCATTTACATGTAAGAGAAGAGGAATTGTCTGCATCTGTACTGGAGTTGGATCATTGTATCCAAGACTTGTAATATTCTTCATTAGATAAGGAGGAATAGAGTACCTTTAAAATAATAACGATAATAAACAATATACACACAAGATATAACAGCATAAGACACAAAACTAGAATAAAATTGGGGGGGATTTTAAAGCCATTCTTGGAACCATTAAAATTTTGGCTTTTTAAAAAATGCTCATAACTCGAAAATTATTTGTCGGAAACAGCTCAAACTTTCTATATAGCATTAGGACATCAATGTGTATCAGAAAATGTAATAAAAATTGGGGGTGAATTTGGAGCCATTTTTCTGAAAAAACCATGGGCTATAGTACAGGGCATTTTTTAGAAATTTGGTGTTTTCTTAAAATGGCCATAACTTGAAAAATTTAAGTCGAAATTGGCTCAAACTTTCTACATGGTATAAGTACATCAATATGTATCAAAAAATGTAATAAAAATTGGGGGTGATTTCGGAGCCATTTTTCTGATAAAACCATGGGCTATAGTACAGGGTATTTTTCCAAAATTTGCAGTTTTAAAAAAATGATCATAACTCAAAAAATTGGAGTCGGAATCCGCTTAAACTTTCTACGTAGGATAAGTATATCAATATGTATCAGAAAAAGTAATAAAAATTGGGGGTAATTTTGGAGCCATTTTTCTGAAAAAAACCATGGGCTATAGTACAGGGTATTTTTCCAAAATTTGCAGTTTTTAAAAAATGATCATAACTCAAAAAATTGGAGTTGGAATCCGCTCAAACTTTCTACGTAGCATAAGTACATCAATATGTATCAGAAAAAGTAATAAAAATTGGGGGTGATTTCTGAGCCATTTTTCTGAAAAAACCATGGGCTAGTACAGGGCATTTTTCAAAATTTCGCGTTTTCTTAAAACGACCATAACTCAGATAATTGAAGTTGGAATTACTTCAAACTTTCCACATAGCATAAGGACATCAATATGTATCAGAAAATGGGATAATAATTTGGAGTGACTTTTGAGTCATTTTTTGAAAAAAAACATGGGCTATAGCTTTTGCTTCTTTCACAAAAATTGGCTTATTTCTTAAAGTGGTCATAGCTCAAAAAATGTAAGTTGGAATCAGCTTAAACTTTCTACAACAATTGCTATGATATGTGTAGCTATGATTTTTATGATCTAGAAAAATTGGAGTGTTAAAATTTGGCGAAATGACTCTAAAAGAGGTTTGGAGGTTAAACAAATTGCAGACTAAAAATTTGGCAAATGGACCCCAATTCGCCAAATTCAGTAAGCTTTACTCCACCAAATTTTCTAGCTATACGGTATAAATGCAAAGGTTTATTGGTACAAAAAATTAATAAACAAAGAAGTTCAAAAATAAGCCACTAAATGCAGAGTACAATGAAGGCTCTTACTGTTCAGATAAATCACTAAATGTTCTAATCGGATCAGGTACATCAGAGCCACTGACATATATCCTATTGGAGTTACGAAACCTATTAATCTAAGGTCACCAATAAATAAAAACATTAGTGATTCTTAAATCATTATTAATACGACCAACCTCTTCCATCCTCAGTGAAGCAGCAGAAGACATTTTACTTTTTCTTTTCTTTTTCTTTTTGGGCCTGGAGTCTGTTGATACCGATTGGCTTGAAGTGAGTTGAACTGACGTATCTTCATAATCACTGAATGTCAGTGAGCTCTTCACTTCACAATCACTCAATGTAGCTTCTTTCTCTATTACAAGGACAATGTGATTAAGCATTTCAGTTATTAGTGGCAAGAAATTAAAAAGACAAAATGGCTAGCTTTACAAAAAAGGCTAAAAAACTTCCCTTTCTACATTACCCATGCTCTAGTAATGATTAACTACAAAGCATTTATGGAATTTTGAAATGTCTAAAAGATTCTAGTCAAAAATCGATTTCCAAAATGGCAACATGAACATACCTACTTTACTTCTTGATCTCTTTCCTAGTAACATTGTAACTGATCCTGTGTCATCCGGTTCCTCCCTTACATCATCAGTGGCTGATTCAGTGTCACCAAAAAAGTCCAAAGCACTTGAGACAAGTCTCTTTCTTTTACTGTACAGATCATGAGAGTCAGATTCCTCCTTTGTCTACATAAAAAAAGCCAATTTATTTGTTTATTCATTTATATAGAACCTTGTTAGGTCTTAATTCCAATGGCTGCTTGTCTCTGTTGAACTTGATTCCTCTAGTTAGCTTCCTAAAGATATCTTGACTGTCCACCATGATGGACACGTGGAAGCACAAGTCAAGAAGGGGTGGAGAATCTGGCTGTAAATTAAATATGGATATGCAAATCCTGATGCAAATCACCTGATCACTGTGCTGATCATGCTGTTATCAGGTCACGAGGTAGGCGGGTACCGGGTGCATTCATAAATGGTGGGCGTAGCTGAAAAGATGCACACTGTACTAATGGAAGAACAAGAGTTCGTCAAATGCTGCGTACTGGACCCAAAAAGAGTTAAACTATTACTAAAGTGTCTTGGATTTGGCTTTCTATTTATTTGGATACTTTTTGGAAGCTACCACACGCGGTCAGAGAGCCGGCCACAAGTTGCTACATATCGTTCATTTTCAGTCTTGCCTGGTGGTAGGAGACTCCTGGCTCAAGGTGATGCGTGCAGCAATGAGACCTTTGAGGATTGTGAGGTTAGAGTTAAATCATGGATACTGGAGCAGGGTTGAATATGCATATATGATAGTTATCTATTTACTGTCTCTTTCTTCATTTATACAGTGTACTGAGATACATAATATTGATACTGAGCTCCAGTGTGAGTTTGTTCAGAACGCTACTTCCTGTGGAGGAGAGGCTGGATATATTCCTTACTTTGAGTTTGCCTATTGTCTCCTACCAATCAAGCTCCTTCCCCTCTCATTAATTATACTAGTCAGCCATTGCATGTATCATTAACACCCACCTAGTTATTTTTAATCCTTAGGCTTTCTGGCTATGTTATCTTTTCACATTTATTGGGACGACAGCAGAGGACTAGTAAGAATGGTACTACTAATAATACTAGTTGTTTATCTCTTTTTCTGCTCCTCTCCTCCTTCAGTTTCTGCAAGGCACTAACTGTTATGACAAAGCTGTTGCGCTTAAGCCAAAATGTTGCCATATCCTTTTAATTATGTCACATATTATAACAAGGACCCCATGCACATTATCTATAGCCTTGTCTAGCTAGGCCCACTCCACCCTTTTTTGACATCAGTATTTTGGGATATGGTGGGGAAAAGTCAGCCCCTTTGAATTTACACACTGCCAAAATAATTTATGGGATGCATAATATTTCACTGCCATAAGTGGTGGAATTTAGCTATGCAAGACTAAATGTAATCTTTCCTTAACTCTAAGACTGTTTTTAACCACACGGTGTTACATTGCTTGCAGTTGGAAATGGAGCACCTGAAATCTTTAGTGTATTAGCTGCTTTTACTCATCCAGATGAAAAAAAGACATCACTTGCATTTGGAGCTTTGTTTGGTAATATAAATTATACACTGTATTAATATTGATTATTAATTAAAAATATTATTTACTAGGTGCTGGTATGTATGTTACTACTGCAGTTGCAGGCGGAGTTGTTCTCCTTCGTCCATTTGTGCTAACAAAGAGACCTTTCTTGAGGGATAATATATTTTATGCCTTTGCTGTTTATTGGGCTTTGTTCATTTTATGGAACAACCAAATAAATATCGGAGAAGCTTTAGGTAATGATAAATTCCTTGTATTATTATTATTATTATTATTATTATTATTCAGTTATTATTATTGTTTTATTACTTTTCAAGGATTCTTGGCTTATTACTTCTTTTATGTGGCCGTTGTTGTTTTTGGCGCCCTCATATACCAGAAATGGGCCAACAGAAAACTTAACTTGTTAAAACTTGGCCAAGAAAACTCTGAGCAAACAAGAAGTCAGCCCCTTTACTATTGGTGTACATTAAAATATAGATTTTATAAAGTAGTGTTAATGCAGTGATTTATAGGAAGTGGTAATGTTGCCAGTGAAACTGTAAGATGTTCTGACATTCATTATTACTCTGATCATGATGATGAAAGAAGAATAGCTGACACTGATATTGATCAAAAAGATGATGAAGGGACTAGATTGCTAAGTGATGATGAGAAATTGACAATAAGGCATACTGAACATGGTCAATCTAGCCCAAACACTACTCCACTCCACAATGTGAGAAATAAAGTAACCAAAAATGATTTATGCACATGCAATTACTGTAATTTTTAGCCTACTAATAAACCATTAAGTGATGATGATCCAAGTAATAAAAAGGATGAAGAGATAGAAGAAATTGACCGACCTAAAACACCAGCAGAGAGATCAGCTTCAAGAGCGTCACAAAAGATATATGGGACAAACAAGGAGGAAGAGAGTGATGATAATGATCTTGAGAAAGCTCTCTCCATTAGACCAATTACACCTCAATCCCGTCCGACAAGCCGACTAGAACAAGTTATAGACAATGTGGCATATGTAGCTGAGGACTTATTTGTTGGTAGTAATCCTAACCTTGCCAAAGTATGGGGGCCAGCATACCGTAAGGAAAAAGCTAATGAAAAACATAGATCTAGTTCACATGCTTTCAATACAGCAGATGAAGGTAAACCCATTAATTTTTGTATTCCTTGAATGCTATTTCTCTTTGTCACTATTTTGTATTCCCTGATAGGATCACGTTATGAGAGTTTTACTACTTCTGAAACAGGTTCAGTTAGAGTTAAAAGTGATATAGTGCAAGACGTTCACGTTCCAAAGGAACAAAATGAAAGACTGCCATTGATTGAGAAACCTAACATTACTTCTGATATGTCATTCAAGCAGAGGCAGTTGATGGCATTCAGTAATTTACTAGAAGCTTTCTTCCCAGTTAGAAGGAATTTTATTGAAAGTGGGAAACTCTCCAAGATTTTCTTTATAATTAAAGTGAGAATGTAACACCTATATAATTCTGTGCCAAAATTTTTATTCATGAATAACTAATGTATGTATTTATTTGTCTATTCTAGTTGCCTATTAACTTCTTGCTGACTCTAACTATACCGGTAGTAGATTTCACTGAGCCATTGAATAACTGGAATAAATGGCTTAATGTCATTCATTGTTTCACTTCACCTGTCTTTGCTAGCATTGTCACTGAAGGTAAATATAGGTTAATATGACTCATGCACTTTAATTTTAAGAGATGACTTTTTTAGTTGGACTTTACAAATTGGGTAATTCAGATGTTCCTGCTGTAGTCTTATTTGCTTTTGCTGGACTAATTCTAGCAATTATAGTGGCAGCGACATCATACAGTCACAAACCACCAATATATCATTGTGTAAGATACATCACATAATATATTTTTGTACTTGCATTGTATTACAGGTATATGCATGGGCTGGTTTTGTACTCTCTGTCATATGGATATATGTGATTGCAAATGAACTTGTCAACTTGCTACAGGTAACATGTAATGCACTAGCAACTAAAATGTCAACTACTGTATAATCATGATGTTACTTATGTAGGTTTTTGGTGTTGTTGTTAAGATATCAGATGGTATTCTTGGTGTTACATTGCTAGCTTGGGGCAATTGCATTGAAGGTTAGAAAAATTAGATTAAATTGATTTTTTGACTATCCCTATATACTTAGATACTGTTACTAATTTGACTATGGCAAGAAGGGGTTTTCCTAGAATGGCAATTGGTGCCTGCGTTGGTGGACCTTTACTAAGTAATTATACACCCCATTCTGCTTAGACTAAGTTATATTTACCTTATAGACTTGCTTATTGGAGTTGGATTGGCATCAGTAGTAAGAATAATTAAAGACAGGACACTGGAGTTTAATGTATGTGAAATCCTATTATTCATTTCTCTTACTCTCATCTTTCTGTAGTTATATTTCACGCAAGTTGAGATGGTAGCTGCATTCTTCCTTCTTTTGAGTCTCTCTTCTTCTCTCATTGCAATGTCTTGTCTCAAGTTTAAAATGTACAGGCCTTATAGTGTATATCTTTTCGCCTTTTATGTTGTGTTCCTTGTGAGTGTTGTTCTTGCTGAGCTACAGGTTTATAACATTGAACTAAAGGAATTGAGTCCTCTTTAATCAGATTTGTAAATTTATAGCTTTTTATCAGTAATTGTTATGATAATTTTTGATTTTTATAAAGAAAATAAGTCTGATTGCAGTCAGTTGCATATGCTGTCAGTTCTATTTTTAATAGCAGAAAAATAATTTCTCTAGGAAAAAAATATGAAAGAGTACGATGGCCACAAAATCACACCAGATCATATTTATGACCATACGGACACGTGGAAGCACATGTCAATAGTAATCTCGTGATCTAGCTAGGAAAGATCAATTAAATTTCTGATTCATTATTCATAGATCACGAGTAGACGCAGTAGCTTATGTGGGCGTAGCTGAAGGTGCAATAATGGAAGAAGAACAAGCCATCAAATGCATACTGGACGCAAAGAGAGTTAAACTATTACTAAAGTGTCTTGGATTTGGCTTTCTATTTATTTGGATACTTTTTGGAAGCTACCACACGCGGACAGAGAGCCGGCCACGAGTTGCTGCATATTCACTTTCTATCTTGTCCGGTGGTAGGAGACTCCTGGCTCAAGGTGATACGTGCAACAATGAGACGTTTGAGGATTGTGAGGTTAGAGTTGAATCATGGGTACTGGTGGAGGGTTGAATATGCATATATGATAGTTATCTATTTGCTATCTTTTTCCCCTCCCCTCTTAATTTATACAGTGTAGTGACATACATCAATTTGATACTGAGCTCCAGTGTGAGTTTGTTCAGAACGTTACTTCCTGTGGAGGAGAGGATGGTTTTATTCCTTACTTTGAGTTTGCCTATTGTCTCCTACCAATCAAGCTCCTTCCCCTCTCACTAGTTATACTAGTCAGTTATTGCATGCATCATTAACATGCATGCTCATTGTTATCAATACTTTAGGCTTTCTGGCTATTTTATCTTTTCACATTTCTTGGGACAACAGCAGAGGAATAGTAAGAATGCCAATCGTTTAATTTGTTTATTTCTCTCTCTCTCTTTCTTAGTTTCTGCAAGGCACTAACTGTTATAACGAGGCTCTTGCGCCTAAGTCAAAATGTTGCCATATCCTAACATATAGAAAGTAGTCTGGCTGGCCTGACTACATGTACTATTACAAGTATTCTACTGTGCATGCAGATGAGCCTTTAGATAATAGTCTTAGACACTTATCTCTTACTCTATACTATAGTTTTCACTATTATCATAGCTGTTTATAGTCATACTTCAGTTAAACTGTCTTGTAGTATTATTACATTGTAACTGCAATAGATCTTTCCTTAACTCTAATCCTATTTTTTGACCACACGGTGTTACATTGCTTGCGATTGGCAATGGAGCGCCTGATATCTTTAGTGTATTAGCTGCTTTTACTCATCCGGACGAAAAAAGGACTTCACTTGCTTTTGGAGCTCTATTTGGTAAGATAATACAATTGGTTCACATATCATTTCTGCTCTCACCAGGTGCTGGTATGTTTGTTACTACTCTAGTTGCGGGTGGAGTTGTTCTCCTTCGTCCATTCGTGCTGACAAAAAGACCTTTCCTGAGAGACAATATATTTTATCTTTTTGCTGTTTATTGGGCATTGTTCGTTTTATGGGAAAACCAAATTAATATTGGAGAAGCTATAGGTAATCAATCTTCTTAATTGTATTATTATAATTGCTCTTTTTCTCCTTTTCAAGGTTTTTTGGTTTATTACTTCTTTTACGTGGCCGTTGTTGTTTTTGGTGCCCTCATATACCAGAAATGGGCCAACAGAAAACTTAACTTGTTAAAACTTAGCCAAGCATACTCAGAGCAAACAAGAAGTCAGTACCTTTAGTATTGGTGTAGATAGAAATATAGGTTTGTAAGATAGTGTTAATTAATGCAGTGATTTATAGGAAGTGGTACTGTTGCTAGTGGAACTATAAGGTATACTGAGAGTCATTTTGAGGATGAAAGAAGAATAGCTGACACTGATATTGATCAGGAAGATGAGGAAGAGACTAGGTTGCAGACTGATGATGAGAAATTGTTGTCAGTAACAATAAGGCATACTGAACATGGTCAATCTAGCCCAAACGCTACTCCACTCCACATTGTGAGAAGCAAAGTAACCAAAAATGTTTTATACACATGCATAATATATTTACTGTATTTTAGCCTACTCATAAACCATTAAGTGATGATGATGCAAGTAATAAAAAGGATGAAGGGATAGAAGAAATTGACCGACCTAAAACACCAGCAGAGAGATCAGCTTCAAGAGCGTCACAAAAGATATATGGGACAGACAAGGAGGAAGAGAGTGATGATAATGATCTTGAGAAAGCTCTCTCCATTAGACCGATTACACCTCAATCCCGTCCGACAAGCCGACTAGAACAAGTTATAGACAATGTGGCATATGTAGCTGAGGACTTATTTGTTGGTAGTAATCCTAACCTTGCCAAAGTATGGGGGCCAGCATACCGTAAGGAAAAAGCTAATGAGACACATAGATCTAGTTCTCATGCTTTCATCACAGCAGATGAAGGTAAATCTAATGTTCTTTTGTGTGCATTCCTTTAAATATTTTCCTGCTTTTATATATTGCTATTTTATATTTCCTGATAGGATCACGTTATGAGAGTTTTACCACTTCTGAAACAGCTTCAATTGGAGTTAAAAGTGATATAGTGCCTGACCCAAGGCAACAAAATGAAAGACTGCCATTGATTGAAAAACCTAACATTACTTTTGATATGTCATTCAAGCAGAGACAGCTGACTGCATTTAGTAATTTACTAGAAGCTTTGTTTCCAGTTAGAAGGAAATTTATTCATAGTGGAAAACTCTCCAAAATTTTCTTTATAATCAAAGTGAGAATGTAGTAGCTATATATTCTGTGCCAGAATTTTATTCATTAATAATTGATGTGTGTATTTATTTATCTGTTCTAGTTGCCTATTAACTTCTTGCTGACACTAACTATACCAGTAGTAGATTTCACTGAGCCATTGAATAACTGGAATAAATGGCTAAATGTCATTCATTGTTTCACTTCACCCATCTTTGCTAGCATTGCCACTGAAAGTAAATATAATTAATATGACACATGCACTTTAAGTAGCATGATTTTATGGTGGAGCTATATGTTTTTCTAGTTGGACTTTATAAATTGGGTAATTCAGATGTTCCTGCTGTAGTCTTGTTTGCTTTTGCTGGACTAATTCTAGCAATTATAGTGGCAGCGACATCATACAGTCACAAACCACCAATATATCATTGTGTAAGATACATCACTTTTATTTTATTGTACATCCATTGTATTACAGGTATATGCATGGGCTGGTTTTGTGCTCTCTATCATATGGATATATGCCATTGCCAATGAAATTGTCAACTTGCTGCAGGTAATGTCATGCATTTGCCATGTGCATACATGTATACGTAATTATAAAGTCAACTATAATGCATGTATTACATATGTAGGTTTTTGGTGTTGTTGTTAAGCTATCAGATGGTATTCTTGGTGTTACGTTGCTAGCTTGGGGCAATAGCATTCAAGGTCAGAAAAATTAGATTAAATTGATTTCTGATTATCCCTATACTTAGATTCTGTGACTAATTTGACTATGGCAAGAAGAGGTTTTCCAAGAATGGCAATCGGTGCCTGCTTTGGTGGTCCATTACTGAGTAATTTTATGACTCATCTTACTTAGACTTATTAACATGTGTCTTATAGATTTACTAATTGGAGTTGGATTGGCATCAGTAGTAAAAATTATTAAAGAAAGGACACTGGAGTTTAATGTATGTGAACTATTATTATTATTTATTAATATTTTTCTCAATGTCATATAGTTATATTTCACACAAGTTGAGATGGTTGCTGCATTATTCCTTCTTTTGAGTCTCTCTTCTTCTCTCATTGCAATGTCTTGTCTCAAGTTTAAAATGTACAGGTTTTATAGTTTGTATCTCTTTGCGTTTTATGTTGTGTTCCTTGTGGTTGTGGTTCTTGCTGAGGTTCAAGTTTATAACATTGAACTGGAGGAACTGAGTCCTCTATGATCAGATTTGTAAATTTATAGTTAATTTCTCTTTTAATTAATTATGATGATTTTGATTTTATACAGAAGTAAGTCGTCAAGTGCATATACTGCTCTAGACTGAGAATATCATAATTCAAAATTATGATGATATCATCAATGCTTGGCAGGCTTTATTGCTTTATTTGTGATATCTTTGGTAACAATAATTATGTACTCTTGGTATTGTGTTTATACAGTACCTTTTAAGGACCAGGGCACTACTTAGTCTTGCTGGCCAGACCCTTGCCCCTAGGCACCACTGTGAAGGTTTGTCTTTTAATTCTTGGCTGACTTTGTGATGGTATATAACTTGTATGGGGTGGCTGCTCCGCATTCTTTACAATCATGATTATTGTGAGGTGTGTGAAAATGATGGTACAGCCATATTTGAGCAATAGTTTGCTACTAGTTCTTATAGTAATGTGTAAACTAAGCCTCTTGGTAACAATAACCCTAAGCAATAAATTTTGTTACTTGTTTTTTACTTTCAATTCAATATCATAATTGAAACAGAATGATAGAATTGCTTCACGAGTCAAAATGACTACAATATGCAGGTAATTATGCTTAGTCATCTCAAAGCTCATCCACTCAGCATGTGGATGCTATAAACTTGGAATTTTCATAGAATCACTGTTTTGATATGACTGAGTATTATGCAATCCATTTAGCAGCTAGACCATCGGTTACTAACATAAAAATTTGAAATGCGGCTGAAACCTCCTTTGGTATAATGCACTACAACAGCATCAACATACATGGCAGGCAAATTTGTGCTACCAGGAGTATATAGGTGATTGTGGGTAATTATTGGGTAACATATTTCAGCAGCCAAATCATTATTGCTACAGCAATATTAATAGCACAATAATTTTGGCAGTCAAAATACTCAAAACTCTACGTTGCTTTTTCTTGGTCTGCAGCTCTCATTGTTCTTATTCATTCACCTTATTTCAGAAAATGACTGGATATGTGGGCCTAGCTGATAGTGCTGAAAAATTTCTAACAGGGAGTGTTTCTTTTTATGATACCTGTGACACTATTGGTGATGGATTGTTGCTGTACCCAGGATCTAAAAAGCAAGATATAGTGGATCATTGTGAAAAATTTGCTGCTCGCCCAAGTCATGTTTTTATCACTTCTTATTTGAGAAGTGGTACCAATTGGATATCATACATAGTACAGCTGATACGGAATGATGGAGCAGTCCCAGAAGTAGATTTGGATCATTTTGCTGTGTCTATTGATGAAATGACACAAGAAGAAGTAGAGGTATAACTATCATCTAAGCTGTGCATAATGAATGATTTTTTGATAATAGGCAATTGAGTTTCCACGTGTTATTAAATGGCACTTTCCTTATGATCATGTTGCTGGTGGTCCTCCTCATCAAAGTCCAGCTAAATACATATACTCCTATAGGAATCCAAGAGATGTGGCTGTGTCTTTGTTTTTATTGAACAAAGGCCTTGAGAGAGTTCACCCTATTGTATGGAGTGAGTTTTTGGATGATTTCATTAGTGGAAACGTCACCTATGGAAGCCAGCTTGATCACATTAAAAGCTGGTGGGAGCATAGAGGTAATAAATTAATGTACTTAAAATGTACAGCAGTGCATTTTATGCAAAGTTTTTCAGATTCTCCTAATATCCTGATGCTGTCTTATGAGAGGATGAAGAAGGATCCAGTAGGAGCTGTACAAGCAATTAGTACATTCTTGGGATATCAATTGAGTCAAAAGCTAATTGAAGAGATAGCTGCAAACTCAAGAATCGATAAAATGAAAAAGAATCTTGAGTCGTTCAACAGTGCTTTGACAAAGTATAAGTATGTTCGTAAAGGAGTTGTAGGTGAATGGCACAATTATTTTGGTCCTGAAGATATCAAGAAGTTAGATGCTGCAGTGAAGGAGAAGCTTGGTGACACTGACATTGTGTTTGACTATGGAGACACTATTGATCAGTGATAATGACTGATTGACTAGATCTAGTCTATTTCTAAAATAATTTACATATATTAAGTGCAATATAGATGCTCTATGATTGTTGTATTTATATTTATTTTATAGTATGCAATATCTAAATGAGCCACGCCCTCTGCTTAAAATATTAAAAATGGATTTATCTCATGGTGAAAGATGCATGAATAGAGAATTTTTCTTTGATGAAGATCTTAACGAGCTACCTGGAGGTATCCCACTACTACCTGGAATGAAAAGACACCATGCTTTAGAACTAAAGCAAAAAGTAGTACCTCGACTAGTCTGTACCTCGACCTGACGATATTTTTGTCACCTCTTACATCAGAAGTGGAACCAACTGGGTTTCATACATTATTCAATTGATAGCAAATGGCGGAGCTCCTCCTGAAAGAGACTTGGATATCATTTCACCTTGCATTGACACAATGGAACCAGCTGATAAAGTTGAGGTTAGCTGTTGTTAGGGCCATGGTCACTGTCTCACTGAGAGATTTGCCATTGAAGCGCAATCCCACAAGTCATGCATGTCACAGTGTTTTTAATGTCATAAAAATTAGAAAGCAATATTTATGAAAGATTGAACTGATTTTGACGGAAACTTTTCAAAAAGTAGCAACTACTATTTCCAAAAATTGGCTCCGAAATCACTCTGAATTGTTATTACAGTTTCTGATACATATTAGTGTCCTTATCATGTGCTATGTATAAAGTTTGAGTCAATTCCAATTTCAATTTTTTCAAGTTTTGACCATTAATTTTTCAAAAACTCCAAATTTTGGTAAAATACCCTGTACCCATGGTTTTTTCCAAAAATTAGTTCCAAAATTACCCCAATTTTTATTACATCTTTTGGTACATATTGATGTCCTTATGCTATGTAGAAAGTTTGAGCTGCTTGCAACAAATATTTTTCAAGTTATGGCCATTTTTAAATGTCATATGGATATGCCATTGCAAATGAAATTGTCAACTTGCTGCAGGTAATGTCATGCATTTGCCATGTCCATATATTAACTGTGATGTCAACTATAATGCATATATTACTTATGCAGGTCTTTGGTGTTGTTATTAAGATATCAGATGGTATTCTTGGCGTTACGTTGCTAGCTTGGGGCAATAGCATTCAAGGTCAGAAAAATTGGATTAAATGGATTTGAATTCTTTGATTATCCCTATGTACTTAGATTCTGTGACTAATTTGACTATGGCAAGAAGGGGTTTTCCAAGAATGGCAATCGGTGCCTGCTTTGGTGGTCCATTACTGAGTAATTTTATGACTCATCTTACTTAGACTTATTAACATGTATCTTATAGATTTACTAATTGGAGTTGGATTGGCATCAGTAGTAAAATTATTAAAGAAGGAAAACTGGAGTTT